GCGGTCGTCGGCCAGAGTTCTTCTTCAAAACGGAGTATGTATGTCCTTGTAGTGGTCAACTCGAACGGGCTCCCAACTCTCGAAAGCATCACCCATCGCGAAAATGTGGATGCTTGGCCAAGTTTGTCATTACCCACAACATCAAGACAAATACAATCCAAGTGGTATGGTCTTGGCACCACAATCATGATCCATACTCGTACGAAGACATGAAGCGTTGCCGAACCCCCAAAAATGTAGAAAAATGGCTCGATGATTGTGTAGTGTCCGGTCTGGGATGGGAAGCAATTCAGTGACTCATCCGCTTGCCTGATCTGTTTGCAGTAAGTAATTTCATCATCTTCTACTTTGTTTGAAACATGCCTGGTTGGGATTTGAGACTGATGTTCCATTCAATTCAGTTGGACAAGGCCCATTTTGTCGCCGAGGCTAGGGAGATCAGTTATGACAAGGTTCGCCACCTGATCCGCAAACGTGCAAGTGTGCTTGCCAAACGAGATCTAAACGTATTTAGATCGCTCTCTATCTGGAATGAGCAACTCCAAATGGATCACTGGTCAACTTACGCTCCTGTCCTCCTGGACTCATCGGACTTCATCTTTGCCTTTCAATCATCCTGGCAAAAGGAGATGCTACTTCAGCATGGTCACGCCATGATTATTCTTGACAGCACTCACAACTCTGTCAGCAACTACTTCATGTCCGATGGCAAGAAGATAAGTCACTACACCTTCTTGATCCGAGATCCGATTACTGGCAGAGGTCTTCCCATTGCATGGGCCTTTACCGCCTCTGCTGCCGAGTAAGCCAATACTTGAGCATAATATTTTGGTTATATTGTCAGTAGCTGATCACAAACTTGACATACTTCAGAAGACCACTGCCAAAGATCCTCAGATGGTTGCGCATGTCGACTGGAGTCATCCCCCAAGCTTTCATGAGTGATTGCGCGCTTGCAATTTCGGGAGCAGTAGATGAAGTGTTCAAGGATTTAGGAACACATGCACCAAAGCATTATTGGTGCCTGTTTCATGTCTTCAAGGCATTTAAAGACCAGGCTAAGGACCATGTACCCAACTGTGTCGACGAAGCTCTCTTCGATTTTCGCGACATAGCATACTGCACTTCCAGTCCAACACTCAAGATGGCCGCCTTCCTTGCAAAGTGGGACAACATTCATCCTTGCTTTTCCAAATATGTTAAGGGGCAGTGGGAAAAGCATATAGTACATTGGGCTGTTTTTTTCCGACAAGTAAGCATTGCCAACAACTCCAATAACCACTTCCTTTCATTGACCATATCTGACACACTTACTTTACAAAACAGACTACGCACCAAGGGATACATACAAACAACTACACCGAGGCATGGCATCGGGTGTTAAAATCGAGGTATCTTAAAAAGGAGAAACACCGTATCAACGAGGTGATACAAATTTTTGCAGATGAAGTTGCAACCGATTACCGGTTCAACTGCGAGCAGGTGGACATGGGCTTCACACCTCAAACCACAAATAAATTTCAGATGCGTTCAAAGATACTAGCCAACAGCTACACCAGAGAATCACTCCGGCTCTTGGGGGTTGGGAAATTCCAACATGACCTACATGTAAATACATCTTATTACTCTTTAGTCCTTGTGCTACATGATACTAACTCGACCGCCCTCAGTTCTTCACCTCTTCATTCACCAATCCCACCAAGCAGGCATACACTGTTCATTTTGAGCCTGGTCAGCCTGGCTGCATGCCACGACTTCGAAAGTGTACATGTGAACATTTTTTGCGATGTGCAAGTGCATGCAAACATATGTATCACTTCGCTCGCGAGTACCAGATGCTGGTAATTGAGCAGGTGGTTTCAACCAGTCACAATACAGCACCGCTCGAATCAGACCCATCGGTGCAAAAACAGGTTATCTTGATAGAGGATGGTGACTCGGACATTGAAATCGTCAGCACTCAAACCAACTCAAAGCGAAGCAGGGAACAAGATAACCTTGACTCACCAGCAGCAGATTGTACAAAGCGAGCTCGAGTAGACTTACCACGTTCTGAAACTTCAACCACATTTCGGCCCCCACAATCCCACATCCTCACCGGCACACACTCAAATAACCTCGAAAATATGGAGGCAATGTCGGTGGATAACAACATTTTAAATCTAAGGGCTCAATCATCGGGATTGAATGCTTTGAAATGGATAATTGGGGTCTTGAAGACCGCTAAAAACCGGAAGGAATTTGCTCGATTCAGTTCAGTCGAAACGATGCTCCGTTTTCGAGGAGAAGCGCACCATATTCGCCGGATGGTTGAGGAACGATGTGCAGGTGTGAAGTTGAGTGCGGTGCCGGATTCATCGGGCATAGCCGATATCAATGGCTTGAACCGAGAATTGTTCGAAGCGTTCATGGAATCATGGCAGACAACTGGGTGGGAAGCGAGCAAGCGGGCGCTATCATTGCTTGGTCAAAAGAAACATCGACTCAAGTTTGGAGAAAAGTGTACAGAGCAGGAGATGGAGGATTGGAAGCAACGGTGCTGGGGAATCAAAGCGATTGTAGAAGAGAATTCCCCGTCGGTTCAGGCATTGGTGCAGAGAAGATGATATATGATTTGTTGTTGTAGTGATCAGTTAGCTTACGTGCGATTGGACAACTTGGTGAATAGATGACAAATGCTGTAATACATTTTATTTTGGAGGGAAATAGCAAAGACACTACCATCTTATAAAGTCTATCAGTCGATCAGGGAAAGAGGCAGCTTAACAAAAATGCCCTTCCAGTCACTATCGGTTCTGCTGACATGATCAGAAAAGGGCAGTCCTGATCGCCCATGGTGGATTGCTGTGACCTGACACTCATCATCTCATGTCAATCCTTGTTGCCATTTATGTACTGTGCGACAATCATTATGCCTTACGTGAGGTCAGAAGCTACCGCCGATCACGATTCCAATTCTGTAGACATGGTAACAGTATTTTTTTCTTAATTTTTTTGCTTTTTCTTTTTTTCTCAAGAGTTTTTCTCGCGGGCCGATTCGCCCATGCTCCTGTAGCCTATGTCAGCACTGCATGATGCATGGGTTGATCTTTCAGAGAGTAATTGTCCCAATTGGGCCAAAAAGGGCCACAGATCATCCCAAACAGTTTAATACTGTAGTCTGTGCTCATGTAGTTAAGGTTTCAATGATGTAAACCTTGTTTGTAGATTTTTCCCGAACTGCATGAACCTTAATTACACATGTAGCCCCCTTACAACATGTAGTATGATGTAACTGGAGGGGTCTACAGTGTATTTTGGTCCAATATCACTCAAGGACTACAAAGTAAGTGAAGGAGTAATAATTCAGGGGTACACTTGGTGAGCTATCCTATGTTATTTTGCATTTAGATTCAGAATCTGCAATAATATTCTGAGTTATACTTAAGGTTCAGAAGTTATTAGGAGATTCTGGTTAAAAATGTTATTTTTCCTTATTTATTTAATTATTTAAAGGTTTTTCTCATGGAATATTACAATGTAAGTGCACAGTGTAATAATGTCTCTATTATAGTTCTTCCACTTATTTAAATATTATATTTTATTGTTTTTAATTGTATGTACATATGTAAGTAATAATATCTCTAATTTATATGTAAAATGCTATGTTCAGGCTGGCTCTGATTAGTAGCAGGCTGACAAAGGTCAAATTCAATTTTTCTACCTTGGGATACTGGCATAATTGAGCTATCTAATGTACCCCAACTCTCTTGAAGGACAAACAAAATGAAAGAATGAAACATAAAAATTGTAAATTTTCATTGGGAAATTGGCATAGGATAGAAATACATGGAATTAGTGAGTACTCACTCCACTTCTTTGTGACAATACCCTCTGTTCAGATTGGATAACACAAGTCTACCAGCAACACTGCCACAGATACGGTATCTGCCCGTATCTGCCATGTATCACTATGTATCTGAGCCCCAATAAAAAAAACTATCTGACCAATCTGCTTTTACTTGCAAGGAGATTCAACAAATTTGGTTTTTGGCCATGCAGCTTTGCAGAATTCTCCATGATACACACAGTGTATCGTATCTGTGGCAGCGTTGCTACCAGACCCCAGTGCACCTAGAGAAATCAGGAGAAATCCATAAGAACAAATACCTTGATATGATCACCATGTTAGGCCAAGATAAAGAAATCAAAAGTGGACTAATGCTGCCATAACCCTCTCAAGGCACAGACCTGATGTACAAAGATGAAAAGGTCCACATTTCCTCAAGACTTGCATCACATCTCTTGTTTTATAATTTTTACGTCAGTCAAGCTGTGAACCATCAATTGTGTATGAGGGTTAGCTCAGACAATATTGTTCAAACATAGGGATATCTCATCTTGAAACAGACTTCTTGCCTGCAATGAAACAAGCGGTTTACCACTCCAACAACGGGGGGTACACAATACAATAAGACCCAGCTAAGCCCCCCAACAGGGGGGTGTTGAAAAAGGTATGCTAAATTGGCAAAAATCCCAAGAGCATACTCATGAAGAAGCTTGAAAAAAGGACGTTGGAATAGGGAAACCGAAAGATGACGGAGCATCAGCAACACATCAACACTTGATTCAGCTGATCTGACCATCACTGTATATCTTCAGGTCGCAAGATGGTTGAATAGGTTACAGAACGGTATAATAAGAATCAGTAACAGCTTGTTGCTCTTCATTACTTCATGTCAAGTCCCACATCTTCCGGATACACTTCCAAAAAACTTTGGGTTCTCAAGACTCCTGCTCTTGATTGTTTGAAATAGATCCAATAAGGAATTCCTAGAGGAAAATCGCAACAATATATAAAGAACAAAAGAAAAGAGGATTCATCGCAGACGTTGAAGGAAGAGATCGGCATAGAAAAAGTTAAGCAGATACAACCCCACGTAAAGGGTTATTTTTGGTTCTAAAATAGATACATTGTTGGCTCTGGACTAATTAGTGTGGTCCAATTGATCTCGATAGAATCAAACCCCGATCTTATTTTGGAATTTGAAGCCAAAACGAGCCCAGAGTGGAATGTCGATTCTGAAGCCCTCGAGAGCATTGTGGAAATCTATGTCAAGCTTCTTGAACTCAGTGACAATAAGATCCAACTTGGGCTCAAACTCAGGAAGCTTTTCTGGATTCGATGATGATCAAATAACAAATACACGCAAAAATCAGAATAATCCCTGAATCCCATTCCTCGGAAATGATGTAGCTTCATGACACCATGTCAAGATTGAGAGTTCTTCTTCAATATAGAGAGCTTCAGACTTACGGTGAACCCCATCGAATACTTTCTGATGTTGTGAAATGGCCCGGATGATTACCTCGAGGACTTTGATAAATCCGAAGAAGATTCGAGCTTCACCAAACTAGAGAGATTTCCAATAACAAGATACAGTTAGCACAAGAAAAGAAAAAAACCCTCAAGATCATAAAAAGAAGTGGAAAGGTGCACACACCGCCAGATTTTTGCCAATCTTTTCAATGAGATGGAACTTGTTCGAGATATCAACGACGGGTTTATAGATTTCATTTAAATCGTTGAGGACTTCTTGGACCCCATCTCTATTGCAAGCATTGATGATGGGTTGCTTGAACTTCTCAGCCACCGTAACAATCACATTCAAGTCGAGATCCTTCGAGATCGATGCCTCTTCATTCGGGACCGCAGCCACTGGTTCATGAAAAAAAGGAAAACCCCGATATCATGATGAGCAATTTTTCTCAGTATTCCTCACACCTAACCTAGAACGAAAAAAAGACTAGACGCACTTGCTAAAGCAATCGGGGCCAAAAGGTACTTTAACAACATCTTGGTGATAGAGGAATTCTATGCTAGCTATGGGTGCGGATGGCAAGGAAATATGATTCAGTCACAGTTAATCCAAGGGAAGCAGTACTCAGAATCGGTGAGGATTTGGTTGGCCTACTGTTGATATTTGTCGTTTCAGGATTGTGATGATTTGGTAGTGCTTGCGAGTTCGCAAGAAAAAGGAGATGGTGGAGAAATAGAAGGCCTCAAGACCGGTGGATTTATAGGCAAATGGGAGTCCAGGCCGCCTGGAGATGGCTCGTTCGTGATATCCATCCATTGCACAATAAACACACCCATGACTTACCCAGGGATACTTCCTGGTCCTAGACTACAGAGTACCCTTTTACTGGTCAAACAAATGATATGCCGCATCGTACTTCAAAGCTCCCGCATTGAAGGCTCACATCTTCCACAAATTCTCTACCCATGCCTTTTTTGATTAGGATAGGGTGGATAGAGAAAGGGTTGGAGATGGAACTCCGGGCTCAGTCGCTGTGCATGCCACTCAAGAGAGAACATCTCTTTCATTGAGAGCACCCCAAAAAATCTGACCACCACAATCGACCCGCATTGCGTCTATATAAAGGTTTTGTAATGATGGAAATTGCCAATTGAAGACTCAATCACCAAACCACATTAAAAGGCAGATCTGCTTGAGAATTGAGAGGTGTAGATTGAAAATGAGGAAAGGGGTACGTAGTTCACTAATCTATGCACTCATCCATCCCAGCTGGTTATGATTTGGACATCCACCAACATTAAGCCAACTGTCATACTCACGTACTGGTTGATCAAAAAACCCTGCAAGGGTGGGTACATATTTCTCTTTGCAATCTGGAACCCAGCAGCTCAAATGAACCCCACTTTAAATTTGCTTCCCCTCTTTATAAAATATTTACTAGATCCGAAATACCAAATTTACTCATCTGCAGAACTTCCAACGTAAAGAGACCTTTTTTTTTTGGGGGGGGGGGGAATTCGCGCAGAAAAACATGACAAGACATGACTCTGAGTTCAAAACTTCAAGCAGGCGAACTTAGACAGACTCACAAGCTGAGACTCGCCCCCAAAAAAAAGCGATTGCGGGGTTAATGACACTGATGGCAGAACCCGAACTTTGGTTTTATTCTGATTGGGCATCGATACGATGTTATGTAGATTGAGCCGACAATGAAGTCTTCAAACACGATGTCCAAGTCGAAAGATTGACCAAAGCTAATCTTCGTTGGACAGAAGCAACACCGGGGGCTCAATGAAAGCATACCCTGATTAACTAAGGCTATTTGGTACTGGAATACATCTCGCCAACTATTCAACTCATACAACTGCGAAAGGAAAGCGTCGGGTTCGATCAAAAGAGTATGACGACGGTCGCACAGCCTGCTACAGTATTTAACATCCGTATGAGCCAACGTCTGTCATCACAGTTGTTACCATGCCAAGTGAACGTCTGTTACTTCAACATGCGGTCGCCGCTAACACACAGTTTGAGAGGCTCCGAGCTGGAGCTTTGAGCGAAAATCTCGCTTCTGTCAAAGTGGACTCGGTCAGAACGGGGGCCACTTTCAGCGTAGGTTTTGCTCTTGGCCAGTAAGCTTAGCCCACCAGCGGATTGAGCCTCTGAAGCTTGGTCATGGTATCGGCAGTAATTGACACATTCTTACGGTACCGGTACAAGTTTTATCAAGGTCATCCACCTTACTGAATCGATAACACTCGGCAATGATTGTCCATACATTTTTCCTTGGTTGATCTTAAGAGTAGAATTGAACATCCCTTGGCAGGGGAGGGCTACAGACCATAAAAAATCTACAAAAAGGCCCTGATCTGGCGCTGCGCTGTTCCCGTATTTGCCGTCCTCAATCACTTTCAATAGGATTTTTGATCAACAATTTCTTGAGCGTTCAATATTCAGATCTTTATTTGGAAGATGCTGCTTCATCCCGGTGCACTGGCGATTTATGGCACACTTTCAATACTTATTGCGGAAATACCATCTCAATGTTCCGGTGCAAGCTTGTCAAAGCGCAATCCCAACCTTGAGGGAATTTATTCTATGTGGGCCTCCAAAAAAGAAAAACTTCCAATCATAAGAGTACATATTATGCATTTAGACTAATGTTGTAACTACTTCCCATACTTTCTTATACGGTAGGTTCAAAGGACCAGAAGGGTAAGTAAAGCTCTCTTGGGGAAAAGGCCGCAATGAATTCTAAGTGCTAAACACCAAATTTGATAATCTTGGTTTATTCAAAGTTCAATGAAATCGGTACATCAAACGTGTGTATGCTTGCAAGAGATATCCAAGTCCTAATCAAGTGACTTGATTTGTGATTCTCACTTCCACCTGATACCCAATTTTTACCTTTTCCATGTTAATAGCCTTGCCGAACAAATAGGTGATGAAATTTTTGCCGGAGAGGTGGAGAGTTTTCAGAGAAGAGAAAAATTCTTGGGCAACAAAAAAGTGACTTTTTGTTGGAAAGACTCATGGGTCGGAAAAAGAGGGTAAGAGCCAATGAGTTTTTTTACTTAGAGGAGACTACGCGTTAAATAGTCTACATACAAGTGGTCAAACATGTGGTTGAGAAAAATGAATATCAAAATGAATAAAACAGATAAACATATGCTTGAAAAGATGTCTGGAATAAGTGTGAGTTGATAAAGACTAGACCTGGGTTCGAAGACTACAAGGATTGCAGCACTAGACAACATAACAAAATATCACGCAGAAACTATCAAAAACAAAGTAAAAATCATGTTAATTATTTATGAAATCATGTTGAATTTAAAAGTGGGATAGATGAGTTTTTTAGGGATGAGAAGAAAAAGAGATAAAATTCCAACACCCCCCGCTGCTCAGACCTAAAAAACCTTAGAGTAAAAAAAAATAATTGTTTGACGGAGATGAGAAATGAAGATTGAGAAAGTGAGGTTGTCTATGTATTGAAGTATTGGACACCTTCAAACCTCATTTCGTCGACGTGATGTAGTTTGCCGTCGGCTGTTCTGAAGCGAGAGAAATCGGTTGGATCATTGAGTTGGTTGAAGTTGTCTTGAACCGTCATGTGAGCTGAGTGAGACTTGGGGGCTTTCTCTGGATACTTAGCCCAGCAGTTGTTGATGCGGTGCCCGGGTTTCTTGCAATGATCGCAGAGAGTCGAGCTCGATGCAGCTTGATCGTTCGATTGAGTGAGAAGCGATTGTGGCGGAGTCAAGGAAGTCGACGATGGTTTCTTGTCGAGGTCATTTTGAGCTACATAACTTTCAAGCTTTTTGATGACAGATTCGAAGGACTCAGTACCGTAGTTCATCGAGACAATATCTCGGAACGAGCGGTAGTCGGACGGTAGCTTCTTGAGCATTAGGATGGTTCGGACACGGTCATCAAGGACGAGACCAGACATAGATATCTTTTGATTCCCTGATCGAACGGCAGGGATGAAAGTGGCGATGGAGGAGAAACCAAGATGTAAAAATTGATCGAGTGCTGTAGTTTGCGAGGTTAGATCATCGCCGGCATATTGCGATTTCAACAGCTTCCAGAGACCACGGCCATTGAAGCGAGGGGTTGCAGGTAGAGCAGAACTAACAAATCCGAGTACTTCCTGACCGATGTACGCTATGATTTCAGCATAAGCGTCGTTGTTCAGTTTAGTCCATTTTTCTTGTTCTTTTTCATCGGGTTGAACTTGTCCTTCGAGGATGTCGAGCAGCTTTAATCTGAAGAGTCTTGCCTCCATTGGTAATAACCAGAGGGCGTAGTTGTTAGGAGTCAAGAGAACTTTGGTCTCGCGGATAACTTCGGTGGCCATGTCAAGACTGTAGATGGGATCTGAGCAGGAGAAGAGTTTGTTTTAACAGGTCTTTCGACTGTTAATCGTGATGAAATTTTTGCCGGAGAGGTGGAGAGTTTTCAGAGAAGAGAAAAATTCTTGGGCAACAAAAAAGTGACTTTTTGTTGGAAAGACTCATGGGTCGGAAAAAGAGGGTAAGAGCCAATGAGTTTTTTTACTTAGAGGAGACTACGCGTTAAATAGTCTACATACAAGTGGTCAAACATGTGGTTGAGAAAAATGAATATCAAAATGAATAAAACAGATAAACATATGCTTGAAAAGATGTCTGGAATAAGTGTGAGTTGATAAAGACTAGACCTGGGTTCGAAGACTACAAGGATTGCAGCACTAGACAACATAACAAAATATCACGCAGAAACTATCAAAAACAAAGTAAAAATCATGTTAATTATTTATGAAATCATGTTGAATTTAAAAGTGGGATAGATGAGTTTTTTAGGGATGAGAAGAAAAAGAGATGAAATTCCAACAATAGGTGTGGATCCAAATAACCCTGAGCAGGTTTATCAAAGGTAAGTAACCTGTTCTATGATCAAACAAAGGCGCGTTTTGAGTGAAACAATCAGACTGATTTGTTTGTATTGGTAGCACGGTTAAAATTAAGGCCGTGAGAAACATTGCAAAAGAAAAATTTGGAGTGGTCCCCAAAGTCACGGATGTAGGTGCAAAGTATCTTCAGTACGTTGATTTCAATTTTTTTTTTTTTTGAAATTGAAATTGAAGGAGCATATAAGTCAATCAATGGATCAGTTTAGCTGAAATTGGTTATGTCTATTGATTTTATCATCTCATGCATCCACAAGAAAAATTGTTGAGGGTGATCATGAGGGAGCCAAGAGGACTTTCGAGAAGTTTCCCAGAGCGGGATCACGTGACGTATTTCGGGGAATTTCCCAACTGAATTGGTAAGTTGTTTGTGTTTACACATATCAATTGCTTCTGTAAGGCCAGACTTTTGATCTGATTATAACTTCTTACCAATTTTACCAAGGGTGGAACTTTGGAAACTCACATCAGAAACAGGTAGAAAAAACCTCATGAGGGAGCTAGAGAGCGAGGTTGAAATTGTGTATGTACCTATTAAGAATTTACATTTCTACATATAAAAAATAAATGCCGGGCTGATCAAGAACCGGTGGCGCATTGCTTTATTGTTAAAAAACAAAATAGTCAAGAGGTAGACACAGCTGCTTACCTGCATCGAGGCATGACAAATGCCGATATGGAGGATTTCAGAAGGTTTCTAATCAGAAAAAAGAGAACTGAGGCTGAGGCTGAGGAAGAACTATTACATGATCTACCAGGAGATGAAAAATTGACCGCACAGGAGAAGATAAAAAAACAACGGGAGAGGAAGGTTAATCCACTATACGATGAATGGAAGAAAGGCAAGAAGCCAGTTAGATTGTATCTGTTAAGATGGTGGAAATTTGTCAGGGGATCCAAAGCTATCTATAGAAGATTTATGGCCCTTTTCAGAAAGAAGTCTGCATAATTTTTCACTCACTCACTGGCAATCCTTTGATTCCCTTTCTTCTCAATTTTCATGGCCATTATGTATATTCTGTGGATTCTAAAAGCTTCTCTTCAGATTTAGTTTCTTTGTCAGGTTTCATGGGTGTACTTGGTTTCTGGATCAAAGATATGCCAAGACATGAGTTCAAAACTGCAAGCAGGTGAACTTAGACAGACTCACAAGCTGAGACTCACCCCGAACAGAAACGATTGCGGGGTTAATGACAGTGATGGTAGAACCCGAACTTTGATTTTATTCTGATTGGGCATCGATATGATGTTACGTGGATTGAGCCGACAATGAAGTCTTCAAACTAGGGTTGACGGCGCCATAGGGTGGGGCGCGCCAAAGTGCGCCCGCCCCCCGTGCGCGCACCCGGGTCCCCGAAGATCCTGAAAATGGGGGTCGGCGCGCACCTGACTTTTAACCCTACTTTTGAAGGACCCCTGAGATATCTTGGACCGGATCCAACCGGATCACACCGGATTCAATTTTTTATGGATTTGAAATTTCTGATCTCAGTCTCTCACCACTTGGAATTATGCAGTTATGGCCTCTGACACATGCACTATGCATTGTAGCAGAGATATTGCCTCTACAAAAAAAAAAAAAAGAAAAAAAAAATACTTTGAACCTTGTTTTTTGAGCTTTTTTGACGGCGCCCAGCTCGCCGGGGCGCCGCCAGCCAAAGGCGCCATGCTCTGGCGGTTTGACAGGCGCCCCTAGGCGCGCACCTCTTGAAAAGGTGGCGCCGTCAACCCTACTTCAAACACGATGTCCAAGTCAAAAGATTGCCTAAAACTAATCTGCTTTGGAGTGGACAGAAGCAACACCACTATTTCACTGGACCTTGATCAACTCCAATTCCTAAGCCTAAGGTCTATCCGCCAAACGCTGGATTGAGACTTATGAATTAGGTCTACGGAGTATGGAATGACTGGGTTTTCTTGTAAACTTTGACAGCTTGAAGAAGCCTTCTGGCTCGACCTCAGCTCCTACATAAATAAATTCTTATGATTTTAAGATCGTAGCCACTCCCTCCTCCGGCCCTCTGGAACGAGGGGATTGTGGGGCAAGTGTGGTGATGGTAATAAATAAGTAACTCCTTGACAAATACCCCTATAAGTTGTGGTAGACGGGCTCGGGCGATCCGTGGGCAGCTTTGGCAAACCCTTCCCGTCTCATCAGCCGGCGCCTCGGGGTTGACTGCTATTAGGCTTGTGTATTTATTTGCACAGATAGCCCTGGGAGGTCTGCGGGCACCTGGTCATATTATTCCCTAGTAGGGTGTATCTGGAGCCATCGACCTGCCCAGCTCCCAACGGCAATAGTTGGGGCTGGTTTTCCCTTCAGAACTGGCCTCGACTGGCCAAAGAGAGACTCTCACTCAGGTGAGGTGGTACATACTCAGCTGGAGCTCCGGCGCAGTAGCAGTAGCAGTACTTTAAAATGGCCGTCTCTTGTTTTTCTTGTTTTTTTATTTTTTTTTTTGGTTGGGAATATTATTCCAGTTCAGTTCCCCATCAACCCTTCGCATCCCAACCCACTCTTGACTTCTTCCAGACTTTCGCAAGAAGACCATCACAAGAAAGATACAGAAGAAGAAGAAGAAGAAGCTTGTACATACATAATACTTACAACATATTCTAAGCAGGAATCTTCAGAGCACAGATGACTCGCCCCTCAGCAGCCTGCTTGGATCGGCTGGAGAACCAAGCCGACATGGAACGAGTGAAACGACTGTCCAGCCAATTCGAGTAAGTCTCACCCACTCAACCACATTCTTCCAGCGAATTCTCACCTGACCATCTGATAATCACATCATATCATATCTACCATCTCCTTCCACAGCCAGTTCTTCATCCAAGCCTCAAAACATGCCATCGAACTAAAAGCATACCAGAAACTCATCGCCGAGTCTGAGAAACACGCCCGTTCGGACCCAAACAGTCAACACTGGCTGAACCAGATCGAGGAGAAATCTGCAAGACAGAGCCAGGTCCAGCATGCTATCAACCAACTCGTCACCCAGGCTGTCCAGCAGATCGACCAACACATCCGAACCGAAGCCATCTCAATCATCAGGGCACTCCATTCCGACGGATTCTTCGATAAACCCGGCAAGAACTCAAACCTAAACTCAAACCTCAGCCCAACCGCCCTCAAAACCATCGAAAAGAGCATCGATAACGAACGAAAGGAACGAGAGGATTCACTAGCCACTTTCAAGAAGGAGTTCGAAGACTACCGGACCTTCAATAACACCCGTTTTGAAGAGCTACAGGCCAGCTTTCAGGAATTCAAAGAATCTAATCAGACTCGTTTCAAAAACCTAGAGGATACACATCGCCAACAGATGTGCTCGCTCAGAGCCAGTCTAAAGCTTACCAATCAGCAGCAAACCTCGTCCTCTCCGCAACCTCCAGTCGAACAAGCCGAGCCACAACAACTGAAACAATTGATTCAAGAACAAGTTCAAGAGCATCTTCATACCAAACACATCCCACCAACCGATCTCATCAGCAAACAATCCCTCCAAACTGCCATCAAACTGATCAAAGAACAACTCGATAACCTAGGCCTTCAGATTACCGAGACACTCAAAGAGTTCGAACCACAGATCAAACAAATCACACAGGCGATCCAGCTCCAGGTGATCAAATCCACAAAGACCGTCATCTCAGATGGCCATAAAGATATCGCCACCCTCATCAACGGCTCCATCGTCAAACTACAGGATCAGGTCGATAAACTTGAACCACTCATCAATAGCTCATCCGAGAGGATCGACCGCATCGAAGCAGACCACTTGAACCTAGACTCCCAGATCAATGAGAAAGTCCACTCGAAGCTGGAGTCACAACTTAATGAGAAGGTCCACCCGCAGATTGAGTCTCAAATCAACCAAAACCTCCAATCGAACTTGGAGGATCAAATCAACAAGAAACTCGACCCCAAACTCGCGCCGCTCAAAAAACAGCTCGCAGATCTCACTCAAAAACAGCACGAACACGACAAGAAGCTGAACTACCCCAAAGCATTGCAATCTGGAATGTCCAAACTAGAGACACGTCAGACCAACTCATATGAAAAGATTGGCAAGCTCGAAAAGACAATCACCGATGTCCAATCTCAGTTCAAAGACTTTGAGCTTCGAATCAAACCATTACAAGACAGGATTGAAGGGGTTGAGACCACCGTCCAGAACAGCAACCATGATCATCACAACCCATCCCGGCGACCATCAACCCCCGCCTACCAAGCCAATCAGCCCTCTCATTCTCATCGCCGAACCAGCCAAACACCACCCTCGCCCCACTCGCACAGCAGCAGCAGCAACGTCAATGGCAGATTCCCCCCATCAGAAATCTACAATCCAACCCCAACACAGTCTCGTCGTCAGTCGTACCAGGCCAACCGAGCGTCAACCACTTCATCTTCTGCCCTCGCCGCCCAGTCCCAAAACATCTCGATTGCTTCTCGGCTGACCAATGGACCCGCCCAGGGCGGCCCGGTCGCCTCGAGCCAGACCAATGGGGAAACGACCTACTACCGCAAACGGACGCTTTCCCGCGAGTCGAGTATTTCCCGGCCGTCCCAATCCAACGTGGCTGGCTCGTCACACTGGCCCGCGTCTACGACGAATGTCGGGTCCGGACAGAGCCATAACTACGCCACTCAGCCTCCGTCCTACGAGCCTCAGTCGGATCAGTCATACTCTCAGTTTGCTCACCAACAATCTCAACAACCTGTGTCGTCGATCCCTCTCGCCAAACGGCTCAAAAATGACTACAGTCTCGTCAACTCTTCTGCCAACCATTCGTCCTATCATAATAACCATGACCATCAATCCGAGTATCATCAGTTTCATACTCATAGTTATCAGCAGCAGCAGCCCTACCATCATCATCATCCGACCCCTAATCCGTACAAGAAAAACTTCACTTATACTAAGCGTAGTTAGTCTTCACCCCCCCCCCCCTCAATCTACCCTTCTTTTCTGTTCTCGCTCGCCCTAATACTTTGCATGTTTAGATCATTATTGTCTTTTTTTTTGTCGTTTTAATGCTGTATGTTATTTTCTTTTTTTGCATTTTATATTTATTCATATTTATATTTATATTTGCCTGTCCTATATATACTTAGCAAGTTTTAATCGCCACTACAAGTATTGTATGTAAGACAGAGATCATGGGTGTTTGGACGCATGTCGATCCATGCACCAGAGAGTGAGATGCAAAAGCACACGCGACAATGGCCAAGGGCACTTGACTCGAGGCTCTCACGTGCCCAACTTGGCACATAGCCATGCTTGTGGGGTTGGAGACAAAGTCCTGCTTGACCAATCCCCGTTGCAGAGTACATACCCACCCCAAAAAAAAGTGATGCCCATCACTGCTCAAGTGGGTTGATTGTTGGACTTATGTACTGTGAGGTGAGGGGTGGGTGGGGGCACTGTATTCCTACAGTCCCTTCCCCCCCACTCCACCCCATCCCTTCCAAAAAAAGCAAGAACCTTTTGAGTATGTATGTATGCAGATAAACATTAGCCAAGAAGCAGTCGATATATATATTGATCTGCATAATGAGTTGATGCGAATAATAGGGGGGGATAAAACAACAAGAAATATATAGATATTGAGAAGTCAAAGAAAGAAGACCCTTACAAGTAGGAAAAAAAAAAAAACCCCAGGTGTGTATGATAAATTCAACAACAACATAACCCCCGCCGGAGGAATAAAGAGGACTCCAAAAGGATCAAGAGAAGGAGGAGGAGGGAGGAAGGAGCGGATTATGGAGGCGCGAGGCGAGCAGATCGAAGTCGTATCCGGCCGACCTTGGCGTCGTCGCACCCTGCGATCGAAGAGCTTGGTCTTGGATAGGAGTCGGCTGTTTTGGAGACCGAGGCTTTGATGGAAGCGCGGGATTTGCGCGCGAATCGGCCGGCGATGAGGAAGGATGCTCGTTTTTGATCTGGACGAGTTGTTTGCGCAGCTCCTCACAAGTCCTTACAACGATCCCCCCCAAAAAAATGAGTTGCTAATAGAGTCGACCAATGTGTAAGACCATAAGAGAGAGAGAGAGACTGACTGAGAGACGAGGATAGCCTTCTGACGCTTCTCGGATGCCTGTTGAGCGACCATCAGTTTAAGGGTTTCGCGGGCCTGACGGGGCCGGAGTTCGTTACACAGCCCATGGATATTGAAGGCGGTGAGTTCGATGTGAGAGACGATCTGGTCGGTCTTGGAGCTCGTTGGTGCAGTCCCAGCTGTTCCTCCAGTGGTGGTGTTAGTAGCAGTAGTACTAGTTGAGAGTGAGGTAGGGCCTTCGTTGGTCAAGACTTGCAAGAGTTCCAGATATCCATGGATCAATGTGTTCAAGAGTGCCTGTAAAGCATCCTTTCGTTCTGCTGATTCGGATCAGTTATAAAATCTTGGAGTGAGAGAGGATGAGAAGGATGTATGTATGTACCCATCTTAGGGTCGTACAGTTTCGGCATGCCTTCCAAGCTGGCTCTTCCGCTCGAGCAGTCCGGCCAGGGCTCATGATCGCCGAACGCATTCCAGCCGTTATTCTGTCGGATCCAATCCAGCAATGGGGGTTGGATGAGTGTGCGTAGATCGACCTCATTCAGTTCTTCGCCCACGATCTCTTGCTGTTTCGAGCGATCGAAGGGGTGTTCGTCCGAGATCTCTTGATAGTCGTCGGCCTCGGCTCTCAGTCGTTTGGCTAAGCTCAGGTTCTTGTTGGTGAATAGCTTGTGTCTCGGGGGTGGGGGCGGGAAGAATGATGAGTTGACTTCGTTGGATTCCATGGTAAGCTGTTGTGGTTCTGGTTCAGAAGTCCCTCTTAAGATATGTACAACTCAACTCGAGCTCGAGAGGAAGAACACTCGCTAGACTTGAAAAACACACATAAACACACTCCACACTCTCTCATGATGCAAAATCGCAGTAATAATATGGATATTTTTAATTTACTGAAGTTTAGTAAGAGAAGAAGAAGATCTACTAAGTCTGACTTGATCCAACAACTTGGAGATGATCGCAGTAGGACTATTATTAAGAGCACTAGAGGAGGAAGAGGATGAGGATAGTCTGATTCGTTTCTTGGTGTCCATCGGTTTCTCGACCAAGATCCCACCCAATCTAGCCTTGGAGCCGAGGTGAATGAACTCGGATTTCACCGGCAGTCTCGGCTTGGCGTGTTGTAGTGCAGCGAATGCCATCTCCTTCTGGATTCCGCCCCCACCCACTTCGAATAGGACTCGACCAACTGGGGCTCTGTGTTGTGTATAATATGATATAGGTCAGTATTTGAGAAAGAAGGGTTGTTTGCAGGATGTGCTTCTTACCTGCAAGCCCAATATTCGAATGGACCTTTCCCTTTGCCCATCCTAGTCTCGTTCCCTTTGACGCAGACGGGCAGGTCCGGGAAGACTCTGAGATAGCATTGGGCCCCCTTGGTCGGTTTGATGGCTCGCTTGATGGCCGTTTCGCAGGATTGGAGTGTCTTGGCACTCAGTCGACATGGTTCGAGTACTCTCAATCCGAACTGGCCGTGTTCGAGCGTGGTGGCTACTGTTGAGCCCCCGGTTCTGATGGGTGTTGATCCCTTGAATGCCTTGCGATATCTGAATTTCTTGGGTGCTAGATCGGATCTGTTTCGTTGCTGTTGTTGTGGATTGAATATCGGGTTCTTTCTTCTTGCGATCTGGAGGGGTGTGTTGTTCGTTCTGAAGTTGAACAACATCTTATCTTTATTTTTGTGTAGTTGGTTGGTTATGATGGATCACTCGGTCTATCTGCTCGACTACTCTCCTGTTGACCATCACCACCACCGGTTCTTCAAGAGGGTCTTACTAAGCCAACAGCACATCAAAAACAGCAAACTCACTACAAACCAGAACATCCTCATCAGACCACTCCTACACCAACTCACCATCAACAACGACGGTCAACAGCAACACAGATTCGCAATCGGAACAGTATGGCCATCATCATCATCAAACAACAACCAGGACAGCAAAGAAGATGGTAAGAGACACTCACCAAGCTCAATACATCACTCACAAACAACTAACAACTTGGAAATAAAAACAGCTGTCGGAATCTCATTGGATACGATGATCAATATCGGAATCAAACCAGGAGAACTGATTAACATCACCCCACTACCACCGATCCTACCACCAAATCATATCGGACCAGGAAGAGGGATCAGACTACCAGAAGCAAAACTAATCAAACTCAAACAAACCAAACCACCAAAGGAATACCAAGATCTAATACCAACAACAATAACAATATCAACAACAACAACAACTCAATCATCTGATAGACTATGGGAAGGGTTCATAAGAGAAGTACTAGGTTAGGCATCCAAAACTATCCTACTCTCAAACCAGAGCTAACCTGTAACTAAAACAGTCGATCGAAAGTATCTGGCCATCAATCACTACATCATCATCCCATATGCCAACCAACTCAGATTCTACCATATCCAAGACATCCAATCCACTACGACGACGACGACGACGACCAACCCATCAGACTCACTAGAACTATTCTTCATCACCCGGAACACTCGACTCGAGATCATCAAGCCATCAACACCATCCAAGCCTAGTACGACTACGACTACGACTACTCAGTCCTTACTGACTCAATCGGCTGATCAGATCGGCTATGAGGCCATCGGCGGTCTTCAGTCTCAGATCGAGCAGATCCGTGAGATGGTCGAATTGCCATTGACGAGACCAGAATTATACTCACACTTTGGTAAATCATGAGGAATTCGGTAACAAAGAAATGCATACTAATAATCACTTTATTCCACATGTACACAGGTATCAAACCACCAAAAGGGATCTTACTCTATGGACCACCGGGTACAGGGAAGACCCATCTAGCCTCGATCATCGCCAAGTCGACCAACTCGACTCTACTCACACTATCTACTGCCACAATCAGTTCAGCGTATCATGGAGAGGGGGAGCAAAAAATATTCGAGATTTTCGCCGAGGCTAAGGAAAAGAGTCCGAGCATGATCATGATCGACGAGATCGATGGCTTGTTCCCCAGTCGGGAAATCGGGAGCGAAGTGGATCGACGGATGGTAGGGGCCTTATTGACCTGTATGGACGGGATGGAGGAGAAGAATGATGATCCGGGTCTGGATCAGGAAGAAAACCCCAGGGTGATCGTGATTGGAACAACTAATCGTCCGCAGACTCTCGACCCGGCCCTCCGTCGCCCGGGAAGATTCGACCGAGAACTAGAGATCGGGATCCCGAATGGAGGAGCACGCTTAGAGATCCTACAAGTCCTCTTACGCAAGACGCCTCATCAACTGACGGCAGCAGAGATCAAGGAAGTGGCCGACAAGACACACGGCTTTGTTGGTGCGGATCTGCTCGCATTAATCAGGGAGGCCGGATTGGGCGCGATCAAGCGCTCCTTGGCCACCCACATTGCGCTCCAAGACATGCATCTCCAGCCGCAAGACCTCTCCCAAGCCCTGCTAAAGATCCGGCCCTCGGCGATGCGCGAATTGTTGGTCGAGACGCCGACGACAAGATGGACCGACATCGGCGGCCAAACCGCAATCAAACAACGTCTGCTCGAGACCTTGAAATGGCCCGCCGAACATCCCCAAACCTTCAAACGTTTGGGCATCTCGCCTGTCCGTGGAATCCTCCTCTACGGCCCCCCCGGCTGCTCTAAAACTCTGATCGCAAAGGCCTTGGCAACCGAATCCGGTCTTAACTTCATCGCCATCAAAGGCTCAGATGTGTTTAATAAATACCTCGGCGAATCGGAGAAATCGATTCGCGATCTGTTCAAGAAAGCTCGAGCTAATTCGCCTTCGATCATCTTCATAGTCAGTACTCCCTTCTTCGCTCTTCGAATTCATATGACCGAAAAATAATGTTGGTTTTGGTGTGGGCGGGGGGATTCTGTATAGGATGAGATCGATTCGATAGCCATGGCCAGAGCAGGATCGGATGATCTTGGGGGTGGCGGTGGGACGGGTGTTGGCGATAGAGTGTTGACGAGTTTGTTGGTCGAGATGGACGGGATCGAGGAGCTCAATGGGGTCTTGGTCTTAGCTGCTACGAATCGACCCGAAGTCATCGTTCAGTGGTTTCCTCTTTGTCTCTCTTCTCTCTTACCTTCATGTGTAAACATATATCCGAAAAACAATCTAATCAATTGAGCTTGTTTTTTTTGATGATGATGATATTAGGATCCAGCGTTGATGAGACCAGGAAGATTGGATAGGATTCTTTATGTTGGGCCCCCCGATCTGGACTCTAGGATCGAGATCTTCAAGATCAATTTCAGGAAGATGAGTGTGGATCCGAGCTTGGATATCCATAAACTGGCTACTTTGGTCTGTCATCTCTCTTCTTCTTCTTCGTTCCTCCTATCCATATACCCTTATTTTAACCGGCTTTTGTTTTCGGATTGTAGACCGATGGATCTACCGGAGCTGAGATCGTAGCTATCTGTCAAGACGCTGCCATTAATGCGATTCATCGAGACTTTAACGTCGCCTTTGTATGTTCTCTTTTCCTTTCCTTTCCTTTTCCACTTCTTCTTTATTTCTTTAATAACTGATGTTTATTATGGGGGGTGGATTGGGATGGTCATTAGATTGTGGAAGAAGACTTCTTGAAATCGATCCAGAAGATTGCTAAGAAACAGGCTATCAATTCTCAACTTATTCAACATTACGAGAAGTGGAGAGATTTGGTGGGCGTTCAAAGCGCTTGATCTGCTCACGTTCTTTGGGCTTTTTGATGCAGAAAATGGAGGAAGGAAATCGCAAATGGGGGTGGAGCAGGATCTTGTTTCTTTTCTTTTTTTCAAAAAGTGGATGTTAATTTCTTCCCTCCTCTCAAAAGCCCCTCCGTCTGTTCTTTTTCATCTTATCATCATCATCGTTTTATTAAATAATCTTAACCCGATCGCCTATTGTCAAATCGAGTTGGTCTTCATAATGGACTAAATCAACATGATACTCAATCAAGAGTATACAACAAGTGAAATTTGTGGGATTGTTGATCATCAGGAGGCTTCTATAACATAGATACAACACAGCGTGACAGTGAGGGGGCAGGGACAGTGCCGATGTGAGCCTGTACCCCCCTCCCCCGGTCGGCTCGGGAGACGCTGTCTGTGATAATTGATTCCGTATACTGAACCCAAAGCTGATGTCAGTCTGAACCAAAAGGAACCAAAACACTCGTTACGCGATTGGAAGGGTAGACAGATGGAAGATCAATCCAGTGACACGTCGGACGAAGTTGGACCACAGATTAGGCATCTTGGAGGTATTGCAAATCCCAACTCATCAATCATAAATAAACCAATTGGCACTAAAACAACCACCTTTTGAAATCCGCTCTACGTAGACTTAGTTATACAGGCTTTTAGAAATCTGAAGCATATATATGAATCACAACAGGGAACTAATGGAGAGGCTCGATTGACTCAAGCCACAGTTACTGCTCGAGCGAGCCCGAAGGAAATTCACTACGATCGATTACATTCGAGCCTGTTACCCTTGCTGAAGGAGCTACTCACGACGATCACAAATCTACTATTCCCGGGAACCTTACGAATGGAAGCCGAGTCAAGATTCAGAAAGGTCTTGGAACTCTTACCGGAGCTGGATTTCCAGGTCTCTCAGGTCGACTCTGCCGTTCGGATGATCTGTCCAGGAACGTTATCTACAGAGAGCCAAACGGATGACCATGACCTGAAGCGATTCAAGAGGTTTAGACTGATCGGCCTGAAAGAGATGCTCGATCAACTGCTTTCGGAGATCTGTGTATTCCTTCATTCGGCCTCTGAATACATCGAAACCATGGACCTCTCGAGTGGCGGATTATTCGAAGAATACGACGATGAAAACAATCCTCAAGCAGAATCCGAACAAGCATGCTATACAGCCAACCGTATGATCAAACACTTGAACCGCTCTGAATTGGATGTTGCAGAAGGTTGTTGGGCAGGTGCCCTAGATGCGCTCGATGAATTATTCAAGAATACCTTCAGCATCGTCACTCCAAATGCTCCAGAAACGAGCCCCTTGCGGAGAAAATTGGTCCGACAACCGGTCATCCAACTCACTCAACTCACCTTACCGATCATCAAACTGATCAAACTATTCTTCAAGAAACTCTCAAAGGATGGGATGAACCATAAGAGAAGGCTCAAGCTACCCTCATTTACCCAGATGAACTCCCATCAACTCGATTCGTTATCGAAATCCGCTGGAAAAATCGCCGTCGAACTCAACGAAATCGTCCTTCTTTTAACCCAAGCTGATTTGGCGATTGCAGAATGGCATCGAATCCATTTTCAATCGATCATCAAGATAGCCGAACGTCTTCCTACTCACTTCGAACCCGCTTTACTTTCTGTTGTTCTTTATCTGATTCCCTTGGTCGCTCCTCCCTCTGATCAGAAATACTACCAGACCTGGTTTGTTACTTGGAACATCCTCATCAATACTGCTCTTCATAACTTCCGCCGACTCGCTAGAAGCTTGAATGAGGAGCAATAACTTTCCCGAGTTTCATTTTATCCCTGCCAATTTAATTCTTTTACCCTATATCAGAAACAGAAGCATTCTACATTTTCACACCTAGTGCGCTTAAGATCCTACCAAAACTGGACCTAGAATTTCTGACTGATGGATGATTTCAAACGATTAGACGTCTCTGATCTTCTTGGAGTCCTGCTCTATGGTCCTCCCGGTTGGCCGCCAAATCTGGCCATAACTTGACCTCGATCAAAGGCTCTCATACCTTTATGAATATCTTTCTCGGTGAATCTGAGATATTAGAAAGCTAGAGCTAAAATTCACCTTCAGTAATTTCCTTGAGTCAGTAGTCTCCCCTCTCAAAGGATCTACCGGAGCTGAGATCGCAGGTATCTGACAAGACGCTGCAATTAATGCGATCCATAGCGTCGCCTTCGTACGTTCTCTTTTCCTTTCTTCTGATCTCCTTCCTCCATCATCTCTCCACTAACTCTTGCTGTTTTTGGGGACCGGATTCGGATGGTTATGTGGAAGAAGACTTGTTGGAATCGATTCAGAAGCTCAGTAAACAACAATCTGTTGATTTTGAACATGCCGAAAATTCAAGGTAGAGTTGGCTGGCATTAGTCTCTTCAACTTTCTTGAGTTCTAGGGATCCAAAATGGAGAAAGCGAATCGTAGTGGGCAAGGAGCAGGAACTTGTTTCCCTTTTTTTTCAGATTCAACGTGGATATAATTTCTTCCCTTCTCTCACAATCCCTCTATCTTATTTCCTCCATCGTATCATCATCCTCTCTTTAGGCCCAATCATAGGCCTAGTCAAGTTCGACAGGCGATGGCAGAGATGCCCCCGGTCCGATCGGGTTATGGTCGGATATGTAGCATCCAACAAGGCGATTATGCAGTGGACGGGTGTAGATCAGTTTGAGCAAAAACACTCGTTAACGGGATTGGAAAGGAACAAAGGAAACAGAGATACTCAGTCATGGATAACCCGCTGGACGAAGTTGGGCCACAGATCAAGCATCTTGGAGGTATCTAAAATCCAGACTCCATAAACAGATAAATCATTTGACACTGAAAAAACAACCTCTTGAAATCTCCTCTACGTAGACTTGGTTATACAGGGTTTTGGAAAACTGAAGGATAAATATCAAACACACCGCTCGACTAATCAAGTAGCTAGAACGACTCACGCAGTGATTAATGATCAAGCAAACTCGAGGGAAATCCATTACGATCGATTACATTCGAGCCTGTTACCTCAGTTGAAAGAGAAACTCGTGACTATCTCGAGACTATTAGAGCCACAGGACATATGGGAAGAGCCCGAGGCAAGACTCAGAAGGCTCTTAGAGATCATACCCGAACTGGATTCCACCCTCTCCCAGATTCACTTTTCCACTCTCATCGTCTGTCCAGGAACGTTATTTAGCGCCAGCCAAACGAATGATCAAGACCTCAAAGAGTTCAAAACATTCAGATTGATCAAACTGAAAGGGACGATTGATCATATGCTTTGGAACCTCTGTTCGGTCTGCAACTCTGCCTCTATACACATCGAGATCATCGAACTCTCGACTGGGGGACTATTCATGCATGTCAATGAATCTTCTTTCTATGGTTCATACAGACAAGCGTTACGCTGGATTAGGTTCACGATCAGTCAACTGAAAGGTTCGGAGTTGGATGTCGTCGAAGAATGCAGGAAAATCCCGATCCTGTCGATCGATAAACTCTTACAAGATACCCTCAGTATCCTCACTCCAAGCGCGCCAAAGACTAGATACTTCCAGCGGAAATTGACCCAACAAGCTACAGTCAAACCTGTCTAAGGGCATACCTTCCTGTGTGCATAACCTGTATAAGGGAATAGTGAAGGGCTTCTCCCAAAACTTGATTTTGCTGCAAATTCCCTCTCTCTAAGGGCATAACCTGTTTACAGGCATACATAAATCCTTCTCCCAAGGGGTATGCCCTTAGACAGGTTTGACTGTATCATCGAACTCGCTAAACTGAGCATACCTATCATCAAGTTATTCAAGCTGTTTTTCAAGAAATTATCAAGAGAGGGGATGAATAATAAGAAGAGCCTCAAGCTACCGTTATTCACGCAGATGAATTCGAATCAGATCGAATCGTTATCTCAATCCGCTGGAAAGATCTCGGGAGATCTCAGCGAACTTGTGCGTCTGTTAACCCAAGCTGACTTGACGCTTGCGCGCGAGCCCAACACCATTGACAATCGACCGATCATCAAGATAGCTGGGCGTCTTCCCACTCATTTTGACGGCCCATTGCTTTCGATAGTGCTTTATATTGTCCCCCTCATCGATCCTCTGTCTGACCAGGATTACTACCATACTTGGTTCGTTACCTGGAACATCCTCATCAATAGTGCTATTCATAACTTCCTTCAACTCGCTAGAACCTTCGATTGACCAGCGAGCTGGATTCCTTCATTGGATTCCATGATTGTTGATCATCGATTTGTTGTGTCTTTACCTTGTAGAAAAGTATACCCAAGATGCCATATTAGGCTTGAAAATGCTACCAAAACCTGGTCTTATTTCAGCAGAGGAGTCAGACTGCACCCGCTCCAGTCGGCTGGACTAGTCAGAAGCAGCTAACCAATCACTTCAACAATCCAAATCTACTTACATAAGTTTCGACCAAAAGGCTACATACATAGCGAATAAAACAGAGCAAAAACAAGAAATCCAAGAATCGAGCTAGTCATTTAATTCAAACTGATTCAGATTAGGCAAACTCACTGACTGAGTTTTTGGAAAACAAACTCTTGGAAAATTCTTCTGGGTTGATGGATGATCTTGGTAGTGGTGCCATCGACATGGAAATTCCTCAGGATACCGTACACACCCAGGGCACTTCAGGAAAATCAGTGCATCCCAGGGATGCCATTGCCCGTCAGATGTCCCTGGGACGGGATGCCGTCCCCAGGACATCACCATTCACAAAAATTAGCGCGGCCCAGGGACGCCATTGTACCTGAGACGTCCCTGGGCCGGGACAACATCCCCAGGACATCATTGTCCCTGCCTGGCATTCCTGTGACGTCCACCTTAAAAATATCATTGCAGCCCAGGGACGTCATTGCCCCTGAGCTGTCCCCAGTTCCTCACTCCCCCCCCTGGCGTCTATCACACGTCCCACACCAACTCAACCGTCAATTAGCCATTCCCACGTGGGGGGCATGGCATCTGAGTCTCCCCATGAGATTACCCTGTGTTGATTTAACACGTCCAGCGCAGGATCAACAACCTCATTACCAGCTGAATTTTCTTCCTCATGTTGGGTGACGCGGGACTCAGGAGTATTCATTGTATCCTGAAACTGAGTTACTCTGCTTTGCATGTTAAGGAAATTATTTTCTAATTCCTGATGTTTTTGGTAATTGATGTGTTTTCAAATGGAACTGAATACCATGTTCCTGGACCCACAGAGCAAACACAACCATGTCCCACCGTGCGGCTCCTCTGACACCTTATTCCATACAACTTCAATAATAATAATAATAATAATAATAAAATTAATCAATATTTCATTTGGGTGTGTGCAAATTTTCCTGAGAAATGGTACTTACCTGGATTCAGCTCCAATTCTGGTTTGGCCCCTTTACGACCGCGCATGATGACTATTGAACCTCTTCACTTCCTGAAACGATGAGGTGTTCCTTCCGCGCGTGCATTTGATGTGAGCTGAAGCCTGAGAAGCGCGAGTGAGGTGGTTGAGAACAGCCAGGGGAAGCCAGAAGTCAGGATGATGCACTCGCCTGACTTCTGGCTATGGCCTGATGCCCCTTCAGCTCAGATGAGCGAGCATCAGGTCGATGATCCTTGGGTGATGTTGTTTCACCCAAGGTTTCAATGGGAAGTTGGGCCGGCACCAATCCTCACGGTCAGCGGTGCCGGCCGGTTTATGCTGATCCTTGGGTGATGTTGTTTCACCCAAGGTTTCAATGGGAAGTCGGGCCGGCACCAATCCTCACGGTCAGCGGTGCCGGCCGGTTTTTGTTTTATCATCGGTCTTGGAATGACCGATGATCCTTTGCCTCAACCAACCATGGGTGATTTTATTTCACCCATGGTTTCAATGCTGATCCCCCCTGGCCCACCAGGCAGAGACCCAAGCGAGCGGTTGGCTGCCTCTTCCTGGTGGAGAACGGAGGATCAGCGACAACCAACCCGATTGGGATTGGTCACGCAGGTAATCCCTTCACTCTTTCAAGACTTAACGACCTCCGTTGATCATCATCAGTCTTGCTCATCAACCACAGCTCATCATCGACTGTGGACGCTGATACCGCGCCGTCTTTCATCGACGATTGGCTTTTTCGGCTCTTCAAACGCACCAACTGATTATCGACTTTTTTCTTTTCTGTCATCGATTATCTCACCGACGGACGATTGCCGAGCTACATCGACCAACTCGTTTTTCTGTTTTTTCTTCTTTCAAAGACAACCTGGCGACGGCTCTAAGCTAGGTCAGTATTGCTATGTTTTTTTCTGGTTTTTTCCCTGCAGTATTTGGGCAGGATTTTTGATAGAAGATTGATCCTTGCTCGCGTTAGGCCTGATAGTTGGTGCATCGACCCGGACAACTTCTTGATTCTGGCGAGGAATTGTCCAGATCACTTCTCGAACCGATCCTCGCGAGGCAGTGAAAGGTCAGTATCCCTATTTTTTCCTTTTTTTTCCCTGCAGTATCCACCCCATCCCTTCCACATTGAATCGTTTTTTTTTTCATTTCTAAGTCATTTTTTTTTGTGTTTACATATGCTCAGATACTTTCGACGGACGATAGCTGTCGTTTCTCATCGGAATTTTTTTGTCTTTACATTCTCTTCAGATACTCGCGACGGACGATAGCTGAGTCCGCTACTTCGACACATATCCTTTATTTGGCGATTACATCGCATAGGAACTCGCGACAGTCGATAGCCGCGCTACTTCGACCGATCCTACTTGATCGCTGTTGCACCTTGCTGTCCGGACAGCTTCCTGACTGGGGTGAGTTTTGATAACATCATCCTTTTCTCTGTAGTGTTTGAGTAGGATCCATATTGATTTTGAGATCTCTCCTGGCCTGCGTTTGCTTCAAGTAGCTCAGACAGGACTTAAACATACTTGGACAACAGTCCAATTTCTGTTTGCCATGTCTGAAGAACCCACTTGGGTTGTTTGCCTTTTTCTTTTCTCATGTGAATAGTACTTGTTTCTTTTTCAGGCAGATTTGCACTGGTGCATTTCTCATTCACATTTTTGTACATTTTTTGTTGTTGTTGTAAATGGCCAATCATATGTTTCAGTGTGTTATTGACAATGCATATTGTTTCACTATTTCATTCACTGTGTGATTATTGTGCGATGAGTATCCTTGGGCTAGCTGGTGGATGTGCATAAGACATTTTTTTATGCCAAAAAATTGGCACAATGCCGTCTGGGTGACGGCTCAGAGACACCACATTCAAAAATCCCTAGCTTATCACAATCCCCTCGTTCCAGAGGGCCGGGGGACCCGGCGTGCCGGGGGCACCTCGCGAAGCGAGCCTCTGAAAGAGGGGCTTGGGAGGCAAGTCGGAAACGTAGCCTGGAAGCTTGGGCTTTTTGTGGCTTTTTGCTGCTCTTTCACACTCAACACCTCATTGCTCCCAATCCATCCCACCAAACGGTTAGCGGAAAGGTTTTTCAGGTAGCAAAGCATCTCACCTTTTTGATCCCTTTTTTTTGGATCACATTTTTATCAAACACTTAACCATCTGTTGGATGTTAACGGGGGCACTGGATCCCAGCTCAAAAGCAGCTTATCACATATAAGGTGGTACAACACATAGTATTAGCCTTACAGTTAGCATGTGTGGCCTCTTGTTGAATCCGTACAGGGACCATGATTGCCACACCATGGAGTATTTGACCACTGTACAGTTGTGATGTTTGGTCGGTGAGAAGACCAAATAAACAAGTTTGCAATGGTTTACAAACACCATTTCAGAATCAAAATCATCATCCACCCCTTTATCCAAATTCATCCGGAAGACCTCATTCCCCATAAACCAATCTTTTGTTGCTTCAGAACTTAGATATCCGCCTATTTATAATGCACCAATTAGCTTTAGCCAAGCGCGGACATCCCACCCCCATGGGTGCCAGTCTGTACAAGAAAATTTACGAAAAGTCGGACGATAAGCTAAAGGAATTCATCATCGAATCATCTATCAAGACTTACCAGCAAGAGCCAAAGCGGTTGCAGGTCGATGCTGTTTTCAATCTTGCCCGAGGTCGCAACACTTTTCTCTTGGCAGGAACGGGGTTTGGCAAGTCTCGAATCTCGGAAATGTATTTCAATATGATCCCAAAGATGAAGCGGGCGGTGGTGCTTGTCTTGAACCCCCTCGACTCTCTAGGGGATAACCAAGTGCTTGAGAAGGAGAAGGCCGGATTCACTGCGATCAACTTAACGAAGATGAATTTCAATAAGAAAACGGCCGATGCGATCTTGAACGGAGACTACAATTTCATCTACTTGAGCCCTGAAATTTTCCTCAACAGCAAGTCTTTTGATCAAGTTTACTTCAGTACAACTTTTCAGAACCGATTGGCCTTAATTGTAATAGACGAGGCTCATATGGTGTACATCTGGGGCCTGGTGGAGAGTTCGACGTCGAAAATTGTCACTTCCGTGCACCTGAGGATTGAGGACTATGCCTTGTTCAGGCCGTGTTACGGAAAACTTGGACCGCACCTCCTCTTCCGAAACGACAAACCAATCTTGCTGCTATCAGCCACTTGCCGTCCGGTGGCTGTGGAGGGAATCATGAAGAGCCTCAAGCTGACCGATGATAATCTTGATATTCTGCGTGGCGAGCTCACCCGACCTGAAATCCGCATCATCCGAGTCGAGATGGACTATTCGCTTGCATCATCTCTCGACTTGGTCAAAGTCTTCCCCTCAGCCAACGACGTACCCGACGAAGAGATGGTTCCATCTCTGATTTATAGCAGCTCACGAAATCGCACACTAATTGCGATGGATGTAGTCGATTTGGCTCGAGAGACTCCGGGGGCGGCCTTTCGTTCTCCGAGCAGCTGTATCCGTCGATTTCACTCATGTACTGGCGATCAGGATAAGGTCGATTGCATCGACGACTTCGCTTCGGGCAAATTTCCTTTAATTTCGTGTACCATGGCTCTCGGGCTGGGGCAAAACTGGAAGAGGGTACGAATGGTAACTCACTTGGGAAGGGGGGATCCGGCATCAATCTCTCAGATGTTTGGCCGATGCGGGAGGGATGGACGGCAGGGGCTGGCAATAATGTTTGTTGAAAAGATTCGTCGGAATGGTAAAAATTCGGTGGACCAGTTTGGCCAGGGTACCTATCAAAGCGATCTGGACCGTTTGGACGCCCTCGCGATCACGCCTGTATGTCTCCGTGTGGCTTTTGCGATTGATAACTTGTGAGTAACTCGTACTTATTGCTTATACGGTGCACTCAATAAGACTTATTTGGCATTTCTTATTGCTCACAGACTTGGATACATCCCTCTCTCAGTGGATGACCCTGGATACATCCAAGAGAAAGCACGCGAGATCAAAGAGGGTATGACCGAATGTCTGTGTTCTAATTGTGCAACCGAGGAGGCCGCAAAACTGCTGGACAACCTGGTCTTTGCAAACAAGGACAACTTCGATGATATAATCGGCGGTAACTTTCAGCCAACTCAGACTCGCAATATCAGCCACAAATATCCTTGCAAGCCTGCGGTCATGAGGAAGAGGAAGATTCCCGAGGATGAAAGAGCGGTGCTGGATGCGTTCAAGACCGGCCTCATTAGTGACTTGCATGCGCACTACGACCTCACCTTTGGTAAGGATGGACCGTTGTCTGCGGCTGACATCTTTGGCAATGAAGAAGCAGAGGCGATTGTCAACTACATGCATCACA